GGGGCCGGAGCGCCGACACCGGGACAAGATGGCAGGCTGCTCCTGCTGCGCACGCACAAGTTTAGCAGGACCTTACAAAGCGTTATTAATCCGTTGAAAATAAAGTTCTGTACAACCTAGAAAAGGCAGTTCACTCCAGTTTTCACAGTATTTTACATCTCTTGATCGCAGACACCAGTGACACGGTTCGTTTCACAGCTCAGAAAAAGGGAAAGGCAAGAGGGAACAGAAAAAGTTTTACAGCATTCACTTACTCCTGAATGAAGAAGCAAGTTGCAGGAACCACTGTTAAGCCCATGCGTGCACCTACTACTTCTCTGTGCGTGCAGAGTTGTTAGGGTGAGGAAGAACACCAGGAGGAAGCCAACGAAGAAGCACTGACTTTGGAATTTATACTACTTAGGAAAATTTGGGAGGATCTTCAGAAATAAAACAGACTAAAAGTCCACGCCACCAGCAATGCGCAAGGTAAAGGTAGGCAAGCACCAATTTTTTAAGTTAACTCAATAGTCTCATAGAAACAGATCTGAAAAAATTAGCAAGTTAGAAGAGAGGTGACAAAATTAGGATGAAGACATTAATAAACTAGCATGGGAGCAGGACAGACATACATACATCATTTGTATAGTTTTCCAGAAGCTGGAAGATGTACACAGTATTGACACCAACAGCTTGACAAGCTTAACTTCTACGCTGGAAGGAATACTATCACGTTGGCTGGAAACATTTACAGAACTATATGCTTATGAACCAGAGATTAATAATCATGTGCAACTTTAGAAGACTTCTATAAAGTATCTTTAATGACTTGGTTCATGCCATTTTAAAACAGTCATTTCCAAGAAGAAAATCAATACATTTGTTGTATTGACTTTGCTTTCCCATTCCTATTGCCATCTTTGCTAATGGTTTGGCATCCATAGTATGTACAGTCTGATGCCTGGGAAGATACACTGAAAATTAATCCCAAGTTTCCAACTTGCTAATTATAGTGCACAATTATTGTGGACTTCCCCCACCATCCCCCTACCTTGACATAATAAAAATAAATGGAAATCTTTCCGTGAAAGCTCCCCAAAATGCCAAAGATGTCATTAGCAAAGTGTTTCTCCCTATATATGACCTGTCAAACTTTAAAAATTGATCTGCAGTCATGCAAATGATGGAAGAAGGTCACTGGAAGAGCGCAGCTATCATCATCTAGAGAGCTGTATAACCTATCCCCATTCACCATGGGAATCCTTATTATACTGCTGTCCTTGGTCTTTCTCAAGGAAAAATCTTCATTGCATCCTAGTAAAATTTCTGCAGGTAGGTATAAATGAGAATTTTTTTTGATCATAGTTCTCAAGCTACATTTACTCACCTTTATTAAATGAAGAAACTCTGCAATTGAGCTCAGTAAAATGTCATTTAACGAGAAATCTTCATCAAATGCTTTGATTTCTTCTAGATAATTGGATTTGGTCTGTTTTTGACAAGGCCACACACAGAGTCATTTTAAAGGAAGATGCCATGTGATCTGAGCTAGGTAAGTGGATTCTCAAAACACATCCCCACCTCTTATAACAGACAAGAAAATGGGCATGACAAAATCCATGTTATACAATATGCTGTATATACAAATCGAAAGACTGCATCTCAGTTTTTCCTATTACTCGGTTTAACAAGATTCAGTAAAACATGGAAGCAAAGCACCAATAGCCATCTTTCCCCAAGTCCTCGAAGAATGTCTCAGCATCTCCTACAGGTCTTCAGGTCTCTAAAGTTTCTTCATTTGCCCCACAAGTGTCTACAACACAGATTAAACAACTTGTCACTGGGAAAGCACGGACTTTGGAGTTGGCTATCCACTTGTCTGTTTCAGTATTATATTCAAGAATGTGCCCTAATCGACCAACACCCTGAAAACCAGCCAGGACATAGACTATAGATCCCACAGCAGCACACTTCACTGTTACACCTTTCCATGGCATTGGAGACACCATCTTCCATTCATTCATCTTGATATCGTAATATTCTACATTATCAAGGCCACCTACAAAGCAATGAAATAGATAACTGCTTATTACATTATACCATACGGACTGAACTAGAGCATACAAATCCTTCATTAAACTTAGTCTTTATTATCAAGGTTTAGACAAAAACATTAATCCTAGAGCAAAAAAAAACCTTGAAAAAAGGCTGTAGGTTTCTAAATTCACAGTTTACCCTTTTATACATACAGAAACAGAGAAAAGTAAAATGGAGACTGAAAGTGAGATGTGTTGTAACGAATTTCACACTATGCTTTCTAGAGATCCTAAACTTCATGAACAGAAGAACTAACAATGCCCAATTTCTTCTGGATTTGTGGCTAGTGACTAAAAAAACCCCAGGAATCCACCTGAAACTTCCCTATAGCAAGGGCATTTTATTCTAGAGGCGTTGCCAGTACCCTTATGTAAGCTGATCATTTACTGACAGAGAAAGTCTCTTTTCATTATGATATTAAAATCATTGAAGTTTAAAAGCCTAAGTCCCTTTGAAAAGGGCCAAGGGAATCAAAAGTTATTAGACAAGAGTAGACTTTGTGACTAAGATTTGCTTCTTTAGGGAACAGCCTAGTAATTACACTTTATGGTATCTACAAACATCCTGTTATCCCTGTTTAACAATTGTAATGCGAGTCAGAGTTTTCACTTCCAGTCCTGAATTATTTGATCTGAGAGACTAAGAAACCTTCACATAACGAGGTACGAATATTTCACTCCAGACATAACTCTTCCCCATTATATTACAATAAGAACAATTAATCAGTCAGGCTACAGAATATGAACAGCAAAATAATTCTTTAACTTAATGGTTCAATAGTACATGTTCCTAAAATGAGCATTCAGTGAATACAATAACGTCTTGCAAAATGGCAGCTTTGGCTATAACTGATTGATAAAATGTTTGCACAAAAAATGCATCTACTGATATTTTTGCATTAGAAATCAATCATGCTGGAATAGTTTTAGCAGCTAATTAAAATAAAAGCTATAGTCTAAAATAGCATTAACCTGAAATCAAATATTCCAGTTACCATAAATAGTGATTCATACACCTCATAGCTGAGAATGTTCTATTTTGAAAAGCAGTTCAGAAACCCTGTGTAATTGAAATTCAGTTCTCCTGGGAAATAAACTATTATTATTCTAGTTTTAAAGACAAGGAGATAGGCAGATCATAAATGACCTGCCCATGACAGTAAGTCATATTTCAAAATTAGTGCAGTCGAAGAAGTTCTCACTTTTTCACCACTTTCAAATAGCTGACTAGCTTTAGGTCTTTAGACTGACGTTCCTAAAAGAGTGGCTACACGCTTACCTGTCTCTCAAAAGAATGCCAAAATATCTCAAAATACATTAACAACTAAAAGAAAAAAAATACACCATCTTTTCTCAGATGACTGGTCTAGCCATATTAACTACTGTAGAACTGGGCTACGGTATGGGTGCATTATCTGAATTTGACAGGACTGTCATTAGTTAAAGACTTTGAAAAAGAAGATACAATGAAGTAGGGAGGTAAAAGAAGGAAGGGAACAATGATGTGACAACAACAGGACGCGTTTTATGGTACTGCTCAATGTTTTTCAGCTGAACAGAGTACAATGAATTCTTTGAAAAAGAAAAAAGCCCCCCATGAAACCTTGTGTGACCAGCTAGGGAATTAATGGAATTGAAGTACCTAAGCCATTTTGTCCACCCACAGCAAATATTCTGTCCTTTACAAACACCAGCCCATGATTCTTTCTGGCTTCAATCATTGGACACAGCTCAGTCCACCTGGGGAAAAAGAAAATCAAACAAAACATGAAAACTCACTATTTGGTTCCTAGAAAGTAAGTACAAAAATATGTAAATAAAACCTAGCATTAAGAAAATGCAATACGGAAGAAAGCTGCTCTAGAAAAACTGTTTTTTAAGAAAAACTACAAATAACCAATTTAATACTGCTTAACTCAGGAAAATTCCTTACTGCATACAATTCTTCCTGTTCATCTATACTTCTGTTATTTACAGAGCTGGCAAAGCCACAAGTGACCAAAAATAATCAGAATTGATACAATACTTACGTTTCAGTGGCTGGATCATAAACTTCACAGGAATTCAGGACTCTTCCAGAAACATTGTTTCCCAAGCTTCCGCCGCAGACATAAATGAGACCATTCGCCTCTACCATTCCATGGCTGCATCGCTGAGTCAGCATGCTGGGCTTTGTGTGCCAGCTCTCTGTTCTCGTGTCATAGCATTCAAATAAATACAGTGCAGAATTTCCTTAAAAAAATAGAAACCCACCAAAG